ATAGCCATTAATAAAAATCTCAAAGAGAAGTAGGGGAAATCTCATTTTTGAAACAAAACCCAATTTTGTAAACTCAAAATTTTAATTATAGCATCAATGTCACAATAATACCAAATAATCATCCTCAAAATAAAGACATACAAAGCTAAAAGTAATCCTACCTCAAGAAAAGAGCAAGAGAGCAAGACTTCTAGGAGAATCCTTCACAAAACCAAGAGGTCTTGGAATAAAATGGATTTTCTATATAAGTTGCCAAGTATGGACTCTCATTTATGTTTCACATTGCACTTGTGGGACTAGATCAGGAGATTAGGAGTCCGAACTGCTAGGTGTGCTTGGTAACCCTAAAGGCATCCCACAGCTAGCCAGCATATATATGCAGTGTACTTTTGTAACAAGAATCATCAATTCATGGAAGAAAAATTGACCAAGGACCCCCAAATCATGGGTTTATGTTTGTACTTATTTTTTAATCTAGTTCCATATCAATTAAGCAAGGGTTAAGCACAAGTAGATTACACTTAGCCTTCCTAATCACCCCTAATTTCAGTATATTTCAACTAAATACAAGTCCATTCCATTTAATTCCAACCAGTGGACATTTTGGACATTTCACCACTTTTTTCCTATAAATACATCACCTCCATCAACACTTTTTGCACATCAAACACACACGCACACACACACACACACACACACACACACACACACACACACACACACACATTTTCAGCTAGAGAGAGAGACAGAGAGAAAAGAAAGTGAAAGCTTTGGGAGAAAGAGGAAAGAAAGAGCAAGTCTTGCACAAACAATCCTCCTAGGTAAACAAGTAAGCCACAACAAAACTTATTCTTTTCTTTTCTCTTCCAAATACATATTATTAGATGCTTATGATATTGTTTTCAGATGTGTATGTATGGTGTTCTTGTGTTTGAATAAAAGAAGCTGAGCCTTGATTTCTTCTTGGGCGAATTACACTAACGATTTGTATAGTTTGGGGCTTGGTCCTTGACTTTATAATTATAACATATTTGACCTTAAATTTTGAATCTTGTTCCAAATAAGTACAATTGAAGATACAATTGCTTAATTTCAAGGGCAAAATCATCAATTTGATAAAATATAAACTAATTTGACAAAAATAAATGTCAAAAAAATATTTTTGAATTTTTAAAAATTATTTCTACCCATTAAAGATAAAATTATGTAAAATTGATAAATCTTTTAGACATTTATTTATTTTTTTACCAAATTAATTTGTATTATGTGTTTAGATGATAATCATGTAATGGGTAGTTGTTTTTATTTTCATTAAATTAGTTTCTATTTTTCCAAAAGTCAAATATGGCGACAACTTTGATATCATTATTAAACCAATCCATTAAATCGAAAAATCCATAACTAAAAACATTTAATATATTAAATATATCGATTACATATTAAAAGCCTAACCACCACCCATTACATGATCATCATTCAAACACATAATATAAATTAATTTGGTAAAAACAATAAATAAATAAATGTCTAAAAGATTTATCAATTTTACATAATTTTATCTTTGGTGGATGGAAATAATTTTAAAAATTTTAAAATATTTTTTTGACATTTATTTTTGTCAAATTAGTTTATATTTTATCAAATTGAAGATTTTGCCCTTGAAATTAAGCAATTGTATCTTCAATTGTCCTTATTTGGAACAAGATTCAAAATTCAGGGTCAAATGTGTCACAATTGAAAAGTCAAGGACCAAAGTGACACAAGTCCCAAACTATAGGGACTGTTAGTGTAATTTTCCCTTTCTTCTTCGCTTGTATTATCTCTTTGTTGAAGTAAAGTCACCTATTTCTACCTATATCTTACATTATTTTTAAAGGCACACCATCAATTTAAAAATATGACTTATTAATATATTATTTAGCATGTTCTCATCATAAGAAAAGTGAAAAATTACCCTTAGTTTCCCGATTTTCTTGTAATTCTTTTTATTTCAAGTCATGTGCACAAAACACTAGTATTTTCAGTGCACTTTCAAAAATTCTAGAAAAATATAGAAAATTCCTATTGACCTCATGTTTATGTCAAAACTTTCCTTAAAGTGTTATATTTTAATTAAAAATGGTTTTATCCAAATAGCGTAAGTAGTTTAAGAGAAAATCTAATTTTCGTAGCAGTCAACGAATCTGGACAGTGCTGGAATATTTGTTCAATAACTAAAAATTTAGAAAAACTATCCCATTTCCGAATGATGATTTAGAAACTAGATAAAATTATCTACAAACCATGGAAAGGCCGATTTCAGGAAAAATCTAGAAATGTCTCTTAAATTGTGATCTTTAAAGTGTATCTAATTTGAAAATTTATGTTTGTTGCTAATTTCGTACTTATAATTTCATGAATGTGCTTCTTATCACTGGTTTGAGCTTTAGTATGGAAATTACATATGTTGTGGCTATATTTCCTTACAATGGTGCTTTGATGATGCTCAAACTTGTGTAGAATTTATTGTCTCAATAGCTTGTTCTAACCTTAACTTAAAATATCTAACTCAAGGGAAAACTAAATGGGATTGTATTGGATTTTTGATCACTTGAATAATGATGAGATGATAATGTATTAATTTCAAGTATGGATTGATAGGATGTGTTCCCTAATTGAAGGTTACGTCTTGCGCAAATGGTTGTTTCGGAACCCTCAAATAGACCGATTGTATTCTTACCCTAGCTATTTATGACGGATAAGATTGGAGGAGGTTATGGGAAATGCCCTTATTTTTACTGTCTCTTTAGAGGTCCTCGGTTGGCGCTACACAGTACATAACCATTGTAGGCATCCAGGGTAAGGTTTGTAAAGTAATAAAAGAGGGGGCATACCGAATAAGTCGAGTCCAATTATTGTAGTTCGGTGGATGAAATCTCTTTGGGGGATTTCTAGATTACTAACATCTAAACTTGTAATCCTTTGTTGTTGACTTGAATATCATGCTTCATTACTTGTTTGTTATAATTGTGATTGTGTATTGGATTGGAAAAAATGGACGGGGTGTGTGTGCATTTACTGGGCATTCGAAGCTCACGGCGTTGCATGCTAGGTATTGAAGACTATTAATCAGTTGAAGGCAAAGATGAAACATTTGAATACATATGACTACCCTAGGAGAATTATAAACTAGTATTGTAAACATGTTTTGGGATCATAAATGTTAAATCTCCCGTTGTATTTAAGACATGATTTTGTAATTATTATTATGGTTATATATCTATACGTATCTTTTGTATTACCTATCCCTTATTTTTTTTCGTCAACTTATGTAGACCTTGTATTAATACCTTATTAAGATCTGCCAAAAAGGTAGATTTGCTATCTAAAGAGATTGGACTTTGAAGGGAGGCTATATTGACTTCTTCGATTTTTCTTGGGATCTTACTTGGTTGTTGATCGAAGGACTCATTATTGACGTTTCATAAACTTGTAACCTTAGAAGAATCCTCTATTTATTTATTAATATATTCCATGATGTTCTCGATTTTTGGGGAGTCACAACCCACTCGAGGAGTCAAGGTGCCCAATTGCCCTATCTTGAGCTTATCGCTGGACGAATGTGGGAAAAAAAATTTGGGTGTTCACGAGCGTACCATTTCGGGAATTGATAAATGTGAAAGGAAAAGGTGTTGGGTGCCCATCGCCCCACCATTTTTATAGTCAGCAAATGTGTGAATATTTCCAATCTATAAATCTATATATGTATGTATGATTTTACGGCTCTTGCTCGGGACGTCGTAGTGTTTTTACCACCCCGTTGTAGTGGATAAGATTTTCAATGGAAATCATGCATTGAGCATCATAAATTTTGAATGGGGAAAATATGGATTTTATCTTAACACGTAGAATGATCATATGCATCTCGATCATTTATATATACTTTGTTAATAGTATTCCTACTGGGCATTAGCTCACCCCAAACTAACAATATTTCAGGAATTGATGGTGTGACCCCACCCAAGTGACTTGGCGGTGGAAGTGTTTTGAATGGAGCATGAAGGCTCAATGGATGTTATTTGTTGAAGCTAGAAGCTATCTTGTGGTTTCGAACTGAATGTCCATTTTGTGTAATCAAGGACCATCCTTGAAATGTGTGAACCATCAGGGCACTGGACTTTTGTGCTTCTCTTGCTCCTTGAACTATTTTCTTTTTTTATTATTTATGAACAGATGTACCATAACTACAATGTATTTATCATTTCAAAGAGTTCAATGTGAAAGAGATTATCTTGGCCAAATTATTGTATACTTTAATAGCATTTCTAGAAATGGTTTCATGTATATTAAATGTTTTAAATTACAAAAAGGGGATTATAATTTTAGGGGCATTACAGATCATAAGGATGAGTTGTCCATCTAATTGAATAAGAGTGATCCAAATTAAGCCTATGTACCTCACTTATTAGCCCTTGTAAACTTATGACCTCCTTTTCCTTCCAAGCTATGAGAGATCTTCTAAACAATAATTTCCAATTCCCTTGATCTGTTCCTCCTCTACATGTGCATACTTAGAGTGCCTACATTCTCCACAGAGAACTTGTATAGACTAAGAAACTCCTATTTTAACATTAAGTTCATGAACCACTTATCAGTCCAAAAGTTGATTTTGTTCCCATCTCCAATCTCAATTTTAAAATTAGATACAAAGAAGTCAAACAAAGTTCGATTAGAGCTTGCAACTTGTAAGATATTCTTCCAAACATTGGACTTATTACCTACCATCTTTGTTGTTGGTAGCCACCTGCCCCCTTCAGCCCCATACTTGCTGATGACAACTTTATTCTACAGTGCTTTATCTTCCACCCTATATCTTCACCACCACTTGGCTAACAAGAATTCATTCATATCTACAACCTACCTTATCCCTAATCCCCCATGACCCCTCCTCTTTTTATTTCTTTCCAGCTCACCAGATGCATCTTTCTTTTTAACTCTGAGCTGGCCCACAAGATTGTTGCCTACGGTTTTTCAATTTCCTTAGCTACTCTTTTAGGTAATTTGAAGATGGGCAGGTAGTAAGTGAGTAAGCTATCAAAAACAAACTTAATCAAATTTAACCTACCAGTAAATGAAAGCATTTTCCTCTTCCACAGTGCTAGTTTAGCTTTGATCTTCTCCACCACAAGTTGCAAAGTTTTCTTTCTTCTTGGATTAGCCCCAAGTGGTAATCCTGAGTACTTATGGGGTAATTTCTGACACAAGCAATAGAGTTTAGAAGTGTAAACATGAGGTAACTCATCATTAATTCCAATGCCACACACCACACTCTTATGAAAGTTTATCTTAAGGCTCGACATTACTTCAAAACACCTAAGCATTCTTTTGATATTCACTATCTCTTCCCACTCCGCTTCACAGAATATTATGGTGTCATTGGCAAATTGGAGATGTGATACTTTCAGCCCTGAATGCCCAATGATGGCCCCCTTGAACAACCCCAAATCGTTTGCCCTTTCTAACATCATGTTGATCCCTTCTACAACAATATTAAATAAAAAATGGGATAAGAGGTCTCTTTGTCTTAGCTCTTTTTTAGGGCTAAGTTATTCAGTTGGAGATCCATTGACAAGTATTGAAACTCTTGCTGTGGAGACACAAGTTTTCATCCAACCCAACCACCTCTCTCCTAGTCCATAGCTCTCCGTCATAGAGAACAAGTACTCCCAATTTACTAAATCATAGGCTTTCTCGAAATCAAGTTTTAGTAAAATTCCCTTCTACTTAGACTTCTTCCACCAGTCCTGTGACGACCCCAACATGCATATTATTAATGCATTTATTTTATTTTGTGCAATTTGAGTGTTTAAATATGTATTTTGTGCCTAATTTTGTTTATACCTGTTTGATTATCGAATATATGTTACGTTACCTTATTTGAATTAGAAATTGAAAGCCTAAATGATTTCAAAAATAGAAAAATGACAAGTTTAATAGACTAATTAAAATATTTAGAACCATTTGGGAAGTTTAATTAAAATTTGATTTAGATTAAATTAATTAGGAATAATCAATTAGAATTAAGTGGGATTAATTAGACTTAAGCTTGTCTAATTAATCTTAAGCTTACTTAATTAACTTAAGCTAATCTAACCTATATATATATGTGTTTAGAAAGGTTGAGTTCATAGTTTTTGATCATCTTTTTGATGAAAATTTGAGAGTGAGAGAAGGGAGCTTGTTCTAGAGTGAGAAAGGAGGATTTGTGAAGAGAATTGTAGGAGAGTTCAAGAATTGTGCTAGAAATTTTCAAATTCAAGCTCTAGGTATGTCTTTAACCTCTAATTCTTAAATTTAATTCAATTAAGAAGTGTATTCAATATGAGAATTAATATTTTTTAAGAGGAATTGTAGAATTGACTTGAAGATGGTGGAAATTGGTTTAGTATGAACATGCATGCATTAATTCATCATTTTTTAATTTGATTTTCAAAACCCTTACATGCATGAAGTTCACACTTGTTGTTTCTAAGAATTCTTCAAGAAATTACACTCAAAACTTCACAATTTAGCCATGCATGTAAAGAATTCAACTCTTTTTGTTCAAAATTTATACATATGAAGTAACGAGTGTAATAAGGGTTGACAAAAGCATGGCTCCTCCAGTGAGCAAGCACACCCCATCACGGAGGCACTTCACGAAAGGCTTCTTAAAAGAGTGGACTCCCGATAGCAACTCTAGACTTGAGCAATCCACTTGCTCACCTACACACACACACATACATATTTATATATATATATATATATGTAGAGGGGTGAGCTGGAGCCCAGTGAGTAATACCAAAATAAAGAGGTTAATGAATGAAATCCATCACAATATAGAACATGTCTTACATTCCAAATGAATCATATATCGAATTAAAAAGCATTTTCCATATCGAAAACCATTATCAAAACATCATGTGTGGTACATCGAATATGGTAACAAAGGGGCCAAAAAGGCCTAAATCAAAGGGATCATCTAGGTCCAAGCAAAAGGACCATAAAGGTCTGACAAAGAAACCATAAAAGTCTAACGAAGGGACCGCTCGGGTCTAATATTAGAGATCTTTGTAATTCCAATAATCGAAGGGCCATGGTATTGTGTCCCTCGGACAAGGGCCTCACCAAAGGATGCCACGAATACATTTCAGAAAGGACATTCATTCATTCATATAAAAATAATATTTCAAAATATCATTCATGTAACAATTTTCAAACACATTTCGAACATATCTTTATAGAGATATTACTCATAGTGGTTTGAACTAATGTTAAGCTTCGGGTGACCAATCTTTTGAGAAGCCGTTCGTGAAGTGCCTCCATGATGGGGCGTGCTTGGTCTCTGAAGGAGCCAAGCTTTTGTCAACCCTTTGTGAAGTCTTTTGTTTTTGCTTTTTGAAAAACTTGTTTGTACATGTGAAGTTGAAAGTTTAAGTTTATTTTAAATATTACTATGGAATATATGAATGAAATCCAAGTTTCTTATGAAGTTTGTCATATAAGCACCACTCAATGGATTTGTTTATTTATTGTTAATGCTTTCGCTAAGCCCCGTAATTTATTAAATGATTTGTATTTGTCTTTGAGGCGAAGGTAATCTAAGATTATTGGCCAGTTATGACCTAGACCTCTAGGGGCAGGCCTGGGTTGTGATAGAGTGGTATTAGAGTTGAAAAGAAGAATTTTGGAGGAAGCTCACAAATCGAAGTTTGCAATGCATCTGGGGAATACCAAAATGTATCAAGATCTGAAGCAAGTATATTGGTGGCCTAATATGAAAAGGGAAACTGTTGATTTTAACTCTAAGTATCTTTAGTGTCAACAAGTCAAAGTAGAACACCAAAGACCAGCAGCACTGCTTCAACCTCTTCCTATTCTGAAATGGAAATAAGACCACATAACCATGGATTTCATTGTTGGTCTACCTCGGACGCCTAGAGATATGAATTCTATTTGGGTCATTGTCGATAAGTTAACTAAATCTGCTTATTTTCTTCTTGTGAAAACCTTTTTTAATGCTTATAGACTCGTTACCATCTATATCGATGAGATTATTCGTTTGCACAGAGCTTCGGTATCTATTGTTTCAGATAAGGACCCTAAGTTTGTGTTTGGGTTTTGGCAATGTAATACCCCTGTTTTGTATTATGTTAATTGGTCCTTTATATGATTATGATTATGTGTTAATATGATTTTGTGTGCTATTACGTGAAAATATGTGATTTTGAATTTCTATCTGTTCACCGTAGGAATATTTGTTTGATTGTCTGCTTTGGAAATTAAATTGAAGGCCTTATCGGCCACAGAACTCGAAATTGATTACGCCATTGTGATTAGCGTAATTTTTAGAGTCTACGGTGAAATTTAATTGGAAATTGATTTGGATCAAATTAATTAGATTAAATTAATGAATTAATTGCCCAATTGTTTTATAATAAAATAATGTGTTGAGTGGGGGCCTTAAGACACTCAATTTCTCTCCTTAGCTTCATTTGGAGTGATCATAAACTCAAAGAAAAGAAGAAAGGGTCGACTTAGAGAGAGAGAGTGTAGGAGACTGAGGTTTTGGTCTTAAGGCTTGGAGATTTTGGAAGATTACTCAAGAATTTGCTATAGATTGGAAGAATTGAGCCTTTAGGTAAGTGAATCCATGAGTTTAATGTGTAATTTTGCGTATTCAAAGTGGATTAATGATCAAGAGTAAGGATTGAGGTGGAATTGAGTTGTTTATGTTGAATTGAAGGTCAATGTATGCATGCATGTATATAATTGCTATGAAATTGCATAATCTAGCATGTGTTAAGTTGAATATGGAAATATGAGTGTTAAATCATACATGCAAACATGTTTTTATTGAGTTTCATGAGAATGAACACCATTTGCATCATCTAGGTTGAGAATAAGGGTGACACATCACGTGCATGTACAAATTATAAGAATAGGAGCCTTGAATGCATGAATTTGCATGTTGGAAATGAATTTGGTGTCAATTGGGACATGCATGTGTTTGATTTATGAAATTGAGCTCCATATTGATGTAAATGGGTGTTTGTATCATGGTAGCATAAATATATTTGGAATTTGAGCCATAAAATGTAAGTTGGATTGGTTTGAATGCTGGATTCGAGCTCAAGAACTTAGCTGGAAAAAACCCAGAAATTTGATGTCCGCTCGAGAGGGGAACCCGCCGCTTGAGCGTGAAATTCATGCTCCCAGCATATTTTGCAGACATGACTCCCGCTCGAGCGGGGAAGTTCACGCTCGAGCGGGGAGCCATGTAGAGAGGCCTTTCGCTCGAGCACCAAAATTAACGCTCGAGCGTAACTTTCGCATAACCAATACATTTGCAGGCCTCAAGGGTCCGCTCGAGCGGGGAATCCCACGCTCGAGCGGGGACCCTGTTTTCTGAAATTTTGAAAGTGTATTCTGTGTTTTGTTTTCTGTTCTCTTTTAGTTGCAAGCACTCTTAGGCATGCATTAAGCATTGCAATTGAGTTAAAGAGATAAGAATGAAGCCTAAAGATGAATATGTGAATTAAAGAACGGATTGAATCGTTTGTGACCCATATGTGCTATATGATGTGTAGGGTCAAGCTCCAGGGCAAATCCACAAGCCGATCACTGTGAGTAACATCTAAAATATGTTGTTGTCCAATTGCTTACTTCTATGTAAGTTTTGTAAAGTTCATTAATCTGAATGGAGGACAAAGTTTGAAACGAAAGTTTGAAAGGCCTAAAGGCCAGTTTGAAATGAAAGTTTGAAAGGCCTAAAGGCCAGTCTGATATGAAAGTTTGAAAGGCCTAAAGGCCAGTCAGATATGAAATTTTGAAAGGCCTAAAGGCCAGTCTGATATGAAAGTTTGAAAAGGCCAAGGGTCAGTTTGACATGAATGAATTGGGCCCAAGGCTGTCTGATGTATAATGTTCTAATGTATTTTCTTTATTTGATATTATTCACTGGGCTTTCGCTCACGCTCATTCATGTCTTCGTAGGTGAGCCAAGAGAGGTCCAGACCCAGCCCCAGTGAAGTCTGTATGGAACAACCGGGTTTTGGAGAGTCAGCCCATGTGTCTCACGCACGAGACTCGCCTTCGCCTTTTTGTCATTTTGTTCTATGTTGTCATGTTGGCGAAGTCTTTGTATATGTCTGTATATAGTTTTCATGGGTTGACTTAGTTTTGGATGATCCTGTCTGTACAGAACTTTATGGTACTATATTTCTGTTGTGAGTTATTAATGTATGTATGTATAGTTTGTTTTGGCGTGCCATGTAAGCACAGCTCTATGGACAAAGTTTTAAATTTTTGCTTCCGTTCGGTCCCTTTACTCTGATGAGTTATGTTTGGTTTGAATTGAGGCCATAGGTAATCTCAGGATTACTGGCCGGTTATGGCCTAAACCCATAGGGGCGGGTTTGGGTCATGACAGGCAAAGTCTTCAAAAAGCAATAGGAATAGAACTGAGATTTAGTACCGCTTTTCATCG